GCCTGGCAGGCCGCCTATGAGCACCCAAATTCGGCCTGGATCATCCAGGATTTGTGGGCTAAGCTCCATAAACTGACTAAATCACCCAGAGAGGTCACCTTTCTAGCCCAAATATATATAATACAAATACATTTAAATAGTAAAAGGTGCACTTGTGCTCTGCATTACCCGGAATTTTATTTTCATAGCCCCATGATAGTGATTAAAAATCATTTTCATGGGAAAAAGTGTTAAAACGCCTGATTAAATTATATGCAGGACCCCAGTGAGCTCCAGACTATGTGCATTGTGTTGGGGAACCATATAAATGATAGAATAAATGCATTTAAATGCAAAAATAATGATTTTAAATCATTTTAGGGGGACAATTGTGGAGAGGAGCCTGAAAATGACTCTGCAGCAGGCTGCCTATGAGCACCCAAATTCGGCCTTCTTCACGGAACCACGACCCCTTCTGTGGAGGGTATTCTCGTGCCCCTGGTGAGCACACGTTGACCCAGGAAAGAGTCTTCAAAACACAGGTAAAAGTGTGTTAAACAGTGGGGTAACATGTTTGAAATGACAGCACACTGCTGCTTGTTGGCAGGCTGACTCACTTGACTTGTCTCACACACACCCAGGGGGGGAGAAAGAGGACACATTGACCCAGGAAAGAGTCTTCAAAACACAGGTAAAACTGTGTTAAACAGTGGGGTAACATGTTTGAAATGACAGCACACTGCTGCTGGTTGGCAGGCTGACTCACTTGACTTGTCTCACACACACCCAGGGGGGGGAGAAAGAGGACACATTGACCCAGGAAAGAGTCTTCAAAACACAGGTAAAAGTGTGTTAAACAGTGGGGTAACATGTTTGAAATGACAGCACACTGCTGCTGGTTGGCAGGCTGACTCACTTGACTTGTCTCACACACACCCAGGGGGGGGAGAAAGAGGACACATTGACCCAGGAAAGAGTCTTCAAAACACAGGTAAAAGTGTGTTAAACAGTGGGGTAACATGTTTGAAATGACAGCACACTGCTGCTTGTTGGCAGGCTGACTCACTTCACTTGTCTCACACACACCCAGGGGGGGAGAAAGAGGACACATTGACCCAGGAAAGAGTCTTCAAAACACAGGTAAAACTGTGTTAAACAGTGGGGTAACATGTTTGAAATGACAGCACACTGCTGCTGGTTGGCAGGCTGACTCACTTGACTTGTCTCACACACACCCAGGGGGGGGAGAAAGAGGACACATTGACCCAGGAAAGAGTCTTCAAAACACAGGTAAAAGTGTGTTAAACAGTGGGGTAACATGTTTGAAATGACAGCACACTGCTGCTTGTTGGCAGGCTGACTCACTTCACTTGTCTCACACACACCCAGGGGGGGAGAAAGAGGACACATTGACCCAGGAAAGAGTCTTCAAAACACAGGTAAAACTGTGTTAAACAGTGGGGTAACATGTTTGAAATGACAGCACACTGCTGCTGGTTGGCAGGCTGACTCACTTGACTTGTCTCACACACACCCAGGGGGGGGAGAAAGAGGACACATTGACCCAGGAAAGAGTCTTCAAAACACAGGTAAAAGTGTGTTAAACAGTGGGGTAACATGTTTGAAATGACAGCACACTGCTGCTTGTTGGCAGGCTGACTCACTTCACTTGTCTCACACACACCCAGGGGGGGAGAAAGAGGACACATTGACCCAGGAAAGAGTCTTCAAAACACAGGTAAAACTGTGTTAAACAGTGGGGTAACATGTTTGAAATGACAGCACACTGCTGCTTGTTGGCAGGTAAACATTGTTTAATTGTTTAAGTGTTTTTAAATGTATGGAACAGTGTTTTGTCTCTTTCAAAACTCTCCCGTCATTGGCCGGATACATGGGGACGATTTTATATTCACTATGACCGTTACTATTCCAGTGAGACGAAGTACGTCCGGTGACGGGAGTGATCCCATGTTAATTTTGTCCAAAAACCAGAGCATTCCCTTATCATGTGCAGCCTCGATATTTCTCCAAACGGAGTACGCCGGGCTCGGTAGATTTCCAAGTATGCTGGAGATTGGAACAGTACTTCAGCGGCACTCGATGACGTAGTATGCTTGAAATAGTGGCTCTGAAGCAGCTTTACTCGCGATTGAGAAACACCCTTGGTCTCTCTAGCTAAAAGCAGGTCAGGTCAGGTCAGGTCAGCAGGCCAAACAAAGAAAAGAGGGCAAAGAGGTGGTAAACCCTTATGCTTTCCTGAACTGAATGTTTGATTGTCTAAATGTATATACTTTGGGAGATAATAACTTTCCTAATGAATCAACACTTTTATTTAAAGGTCCCATGTCATGCTTTTCTGTTCTTACCCGTCCCCGTGTGATGTAGCTTTCTCTGCATGTAAACGGTCTACAGTCACAAACCCTCAGTACACCCTGTAGCGAGTACATGCCGTGTTCAAGTTGATGTATAACATGTTTTTTTAAATACATGTTATATATCTGAACAAATTAGCTGCAATAATTATTATGTAATAATAAACTTTCAATCAGAAGTCAATATAACTAATAGATCTAAGTTGAAACAAATGTATTATTACAATCTTCTTAACTTGAAATGATGAGTTATATAAATGTAGAACTTGAAAGTGTGAGTTATAATAAGACTGAAGTGTGAGTTTATTTGACTAGGAGGTAAATAAGGTTTCCTTGCTCTAATAATGTCAGATTGGTATTTGTTTCAACTCTGAGTATAAAGTTAATACAACTTAACCCTCCTGTTGTCTTCGGGTCAAATCTGACCGATTTACTACTTTCATCAATCATAACTTTTTTGTTTTACATTCAATTGCATTAAGGCTTTATGATATCCTTCACAGTAGACATTTGAACATATGAAATTGCTGATCACCACTTTCATTGAACTTTGGATGATTTAGTCAACTTTGTAACACCCATGGTGTTCCCGCCATAAAGAAAAGGAATTAGTAACCATCCGGATCAGATAAAACACACACACACACACACACACACACACACACACACACACACACACACCACACACACACACACACACACACACACACACACACACACACACACACACACACACACACACACACACACACACATACACATACTCCAGATGTCCCCCCCCCCTTATGTGCCCATCCCCCCCACATGGATCACACCTGGCACACGCAATACATGTTCAGTGTCTATTCTTTGTATATTTACTGCAGTTGTTCATGTATACCAGTAGTCTGATACAATATGTACAGTTTGAAAGGGTGTTAAATGACATTTGGTGATGATTAATGGTTTTTGTTTTAATGTAATAGCAGTTAAAACAGGACCGGTCAAATTTGACCGCAAACACCAAAGTAAGGGGGGGGAACGAAGACAATAGGAGGGTTAAACAACTTTAAAAAGCAATGTTAATACAACTAGAACCTTTAAGTCATATCAACGAGATTTACTTGCATTAATGAGTTGAAACAAAGTTTGTCTTCAAGTTGACTTGATTTGCTTTTTCAAGGCAGCAGGTGGACTTTCATTTGCAAGTTGAACTGACATGAACTGTTTCACAGTGTGTAGCTTTTTATTTATTTCAAAGTGGGCCCATTTGAATTGTATTTATTTCCTTCAGATGTGCAGAGGACTCCCCAAGTGCTGTGATTAATTTATTTTAAAGTAGGCCTGTGTATTTCTTTTTATTCTCCTTATACGAGTTCTTTGTTTATTATTAGAGGTTAACAGTTTTCTTTAATGTAATAAATAATACATGCATTCTCATACATTCTCACTCCCAACTCGGCCTATGTTGACGTTATGTCAGGGTCCCTGTCGTCACTTTCCAACGCAAGGGGGGGCCCTTTAGCGTCGAGTTTCAACTATCAGGGAGTCCCATTGACTTAGAGCTCCCTGAACGTTGGTAATAGACCAGTTGGGATCGCGGCTAAATGCTCTCCGCAGACCCATTCTCACAGCGTTTATCAACCTTTTTCTAACTCAATATCAAGCCACACTTATTGTTTTTACTTCTTTATTTTAATTGTATAATGTCGGACTTTTGTTGCTGTCAGTTAGGGGGAGAGTAGGGGATCAGAAAACTGAAATCTGTATTGTTTCATCGTTTTTTCCTTCTAATTTTGTATTCTTTTCTAAACCACACACTGTTATTTACTCAACAATAAGACACAACTATCCTTGTGTTTATTTATTTGTTTGATTGTATAATGTTGGACTTTTGGGGGTGAGAATGTGTTGGTTTTGCGGCTCCAGACAAAAGAAATGGGTGGAAAAGGGGGCAAAATGGCTCTTTGGGTCCAAAAGGTTGCAGACCCCTGCCATAGTTTATGGGCGCTGTACGCTATCAATCAACCAGCTATTTCAATACTAACCTGTTAGAACTAAAGCCTTGAGGTTTAATTCTCACACAGAAACAAAGCAAACCAGGAGAAACACTTTTGAAATCAGCTCACTCTTAGAGTTTCATGGATTATTAAAGAAGTTTTATTATTTTTTTGGTACATAGCAAATGACAGCGATGACAACATTTGTTAAAAAAAGCCACATCAAAAAACCTTAATTGGCGAAAGCTAAATTCTTCAGAAATGCAAAAAACAACAAAATCAATCAAAATTCTTATGAAGCAAAAACATTTCTCGGTTCCAAAATCACAACACTTGTTTACGGACAATGTTAACATTTTAAGTACGAAATAATTAGTCTCCTGAATTTGGGAAAATCGTAAATCACAAAAATAATCTGAATTCAGGGTAAGGGTTAGGGTTGAATTCAAAATGTTTCATAAAAGTCCAAAAAGTAATGATTACATATTATTGATCATCTTGTGACATAAGTACAATCCTCAATAATACAAAACAAGCACATTTCTTGATCACATAACAAAGCACATTACCTTTTAAAAAGGAAACTTCTACCAAATTATGTACATTTTTAATTACAACATGTTAGTATTTAATATCTTATGAATTTGGGAATGCTCTATAAAAGGTGGAGTTCTTAAAAACAGCTAAATTACTACAAAATACAGAGAAATACCATCAAAAATGATATAACGTAAGAAAAATACTGAATGATTGAAAATGATTACAAACTGAGCTCAGTACATGTGAAATAAGAACTTTGAAGAAAAGTTAAAATCTTGTACTTTTTGGCAAATTACAAATATAATCGGATTTCTCTGAAAAAGCTTCTTTTTTTTTATACAAACAATCTCTTCAGACTAAAATCAAGCTAAATTCAACTGAAATCACATTTTTCAATAAAAAAAACATCTGCATTGTTATGAAATAAGAAGTGTTTGGACTATTTACTTTTGTTCAATTCCTATTTGTATATTGTTCAGCTAAATCTGGCCGTGCTGCTAAAATGACCCATGTGACCCACAAGGGGATCAAATATCCTATCTCGCTGATCAGATGAATTGTTGTGAAAAACGTAACATTTTAAAAACTGTACTTTGTCTTGTTTGTTGATTGAATAACAAAAACCCTTGTTGTGCTCGAGGTCTACAAATCTAACACTAGGTGGCGCTGTAACACGTTCCTCCTGTTATCTCAGGAATCACTACATTAGATTCAAACACTGGGTTTTGTAACACTGTTTTTAGAGGATATTTGAACATTAATATATGGCATTCATTGGCCAACTTTGTTCCTGAGCGGCCTGGGTTGGTGTGTCTGATTTCAAACTGCACCGACTGCATTGACTTTTAAAAATAAAACTAACTTGTGATGTTTTTTAAAGATCTTCATCTTCAGTGGGAACCAATTGGCTTGGAGCTGACAGGAAGTCAGGAAACATGAGGCACTAACACATTGCTGGTGACTTTCAGAGTGAAAGCTATATTTTCTAACGTTGGTTAAAAGCTATAAGAGCTGATAAACCAATGTGTGTGAGAGGAGCTCCTTGGAGCTGCTACTCTGCTCCCTGAGCTCCTTCCTCTTCAGCAGGAACACCCAGGTAATCCAGCTCAATGTCCTCCTGTCGGCTCGGCCTCCGCCCCCTGGTGGCCTGGAGAGACATGACAGCACACAGTGAGACTTCCTGCATCACTCCTGTTCAATAACACACACTGTTTCATTCAGTCAGTGGTGGAACAACAACATGTTTCAGTCCCTTATCATTCAGTCAGTGGTGGAACAACAACATGTTTCAGTCCCTTATCATTCAGTCAGTGGAACAACAACATGTTTCAGTACCTCATCATTCAGTCAGTGGAACAACAACATGTTTCAGTCCCTTATCATTCAGTCAGTGGTGGAACAACAACATGTTTTCGTACCTTACAGTAGAAGTAAAGGCCGACGGTCACCAGCAGCACCAGCAGCTGAGTCAGCGGCAGGACGACGGCTCGGATGATAAAAGGTCCTGGATCTGATCAAACACATGGACAGCATCACATCAAGAGTCAGCAAACACACAGAGACCTCAACCCACTTCAGCATGGAGACTCCTCTACAGTTATATTACAATAAACTACATCTTCTTAAGATCTTCATTCAACCCCAACCCTTGTTCCTGTTCATACCAGACAGTAGGACTGTAGGGAGAAGCTGCTAGCTGTATCTGTTGAACAGTCAGTACTCATGGCAATACTCCAATGTAAACTACAGCTGACTGGAGAATTGCTGTTCTGGATTCATGTCTTCACGGTTCATTGCACTTATTGTACGTTGCTCTGGAAAGCTAAATGTGATGTAAGGGTGTGACTGCTTCAGGGCTCACAGTAAAACACTCAGTCCTCACCAGCGTTCTCCTGGGGAGCATCACGCTCTGTCCTACAGTAAACTCTAACAGCTCACCTGTGACGGTGACGGAGAGCACACGGCTCTCAGAGGAGAAGTCCTGAGAAAAGCAGGAGACATAAACACAGCTGTAGTTTCCCTGGTGGGCGGGCTCTGCAGCCGGGAACAGGAAGTGGGCAGAGTGATTGACAGCTGGCTGGGTGTAGTTGTGAGTGGAGGAGCTGAGCAGGAAGGAGCCTCCTGGGTACTGAGGGTGGATGGAGCAACTGATGGTGAAGGTGAAGCCTCTGAACACCTGAAACCCCTGCTGCTGGGCCCCGGAGACCCCGTACATGGAGGAGGACACAGAGATGTTGGGCTGAAACAGCTTATCTAGAGAGAGAGAGAGAGAGAGAGAGAGAGAGAGAGAGAGAGAGAGAGAGAGAGAGAGAGAGAGAGAGAGAGAGAGAGAGTAACGGTTTAAAAACTCCTCCATATTTCTCATCAGAGAGTGAAATCTAAAATCTACACTCACTCTTGCTTTCACCAAGAGAAACACATGTTAGTGAGTTGCTGAGCTGCTGTACTGTTTACTTTATTGTTCCTGCTTTTGGAGATCCACATGTTTGCCTGCCCCAGCAGCAACAATAAAAACAGTCTCTGTGAAAACCTCCTCACAGTCTGAAGACACCGCTTTGAAGACATTACAAACAGTGGCGTTTTCTCCCGGAGGCCAAGGGAAGCCAGGCTTCCCCCTTGGTGAAAAAAAATTGAGGGATTGACCAATCAGATGAGGCCCACGTGATGCCCCTGCCAACCTGTGATTGGTCAGGGCCATGCCAAGGGAAGCCAGCCGCCTCTGGCTTCCCTTCAGAGGCGGCTGGCGGCTGGCGATTTGATTGGACACTGCCATCCAATCGAATCACATCAACATCAGTTTTACTACATACTGTAGTAACCTACTGTAACTGTCATCACCGCCGTTTGAAATTATCAAGCAAATGAAGCATTATGGAGGGTGGAGATTTGGCGTACTTAATCAAACATAACTTTACTAAACTTCCGCTACAGCAGCAACTAAAAATTAAATCAGATGACAGGCCAATGCCCACACTCGAGCTGTGTACACAGAGGAAAAAGGGAGCGAATCGGACGTTCAATGAGGACAATTATGTCCGCACGGGTGGGGTGTGTCTGCATAAATTAATAAGAAAATGCTTAAATTAATAAGACGAGAGAGTTTCGGCTGGAGAGTGCGTGCAGACCTGTCGGTTAGATAACAGGCGTGTGCAAGTCCTGCATCTGTGTGATACAAATGTGGGTAAAATGATACCGGGCGCTGTAATCACTCATCTGGTTACGTTATTGACCACCCCCCCCCCCAACCCAAAAAATTGGGCTTCCCCTAAATTTTTCCCCACGCCACGCTACTGATTACAAAGAGCTTTCAGTCTGTGACAGTCCAGGTAGCAGAGAGGGATTGTCTCTTTGTCAGAGAGAGAGAGACTGACTAACAAAGAGACAGATGACATGATGTCATAAACAATGTCACTGATGGGCTTACCTGAGCAGGTGAGAGTCAGGAAGAAGGTAGAGGAATCTGATGCTGCACACTCCCTCAGAGCAGATCCAGACTCAACACAGTTAGATCTGATCCTCCACACAGATCTCTCTGAGGACTCCTTTCTCCCCACAGAAACAGCAGAGCCACAGTCGAGCTCTCTGCAGGCGACTCCTGCTGCCTTCAGGGTCCAGAGAGGGTAGCCCCCCACTGGTCTCCATTCTCCCAGATGTTCCACCTCCAGGTCTCCTGCACAGCGACTCTCTCCTCCCACCAGCTGAACACCAGGCTCTGAAGAGAAAGCAGAGAGTGATCAGAGAGAGAATAAAGTGAGTTTGATGAGAACAGAATGAACCAATCACAGCTCCTCTCTACCTGAGCAGGTGAGGCTAACAGCTGTGCCAGGTGAGCAGGTGTTTCTCTCTGAGGCTGAGCTACAGTCCAGGAGAGCAGACTCATGGCCTCCACACTGGAACTCTTTGGTCCACATTGGAGCCTCCCCTTCTCCATAGAGCGCCCCCTGGAGGACTGAAGGAGCCCCACAGCCCAGCTGCCGGCAGACCACCTGAGCATCCTGCTGGTCAAAGTCAGCCTCACACACTGAGGACCAGGACGGGTTAGACTGGTTAGACTGGTCAGAGTTCACCTCCAGTCTGCCTGAGCACAGACCAGTCCCCCCAGCAGCCTGACAGAGTCTGCAGAGGACAGAAGATCAAACAGAGGTCAAAGACACACCATCAAAGAGATGAAACAATATTTCAGAGATTCAAACTGGACTCAGTTGCGTTTTGTAAAAATGCAATATCAAATATGTTATTGATGCACACCAGAGCTATACCCGCTGGGACAAACATCCAACAGAGTCTTTACATGCAGAATTCTGCAGATACATTTGACGTGTTCAGAAAAAAACACCAACAAATGCATGTAGAGCAGAATTAGGCAGATACCCTCTGATCATTAACACTCAAAAGAGAGTCCCCTATGTCAGCTGGTGCTGAGGCTAACTGCCCCCTCTCAGAGCCACTCTGACCAGTCTCTCAACAACACTGCTCTCCAAACACCAATCACAGTCAAACGCATTATAACACAATGTAAACACAACTATTTAGAACATTGGAAAGAAGAAACTAGAAGCCAAAGTAGATTAGAATGTTACCTGGCTCTAAACAGAGAGTATGAGCTGGCAGAATATCTGTCTACTGTCAGAGATAGAAAGCAGAGACAGATCCTAACCAAGCACAGGCTCAGTGACCACAAACTGGCAACAGGAAGACACAACAGATCCTGGCAACCAAAAGAAAACAGAATATGTGGTCACTGTACGACAGGTGAGACTGAGACAGAGATGCACTTCCTCCTAAAGTGCCAAACATTCAACGAAGTAAGGAGCATTTACTGAAACAAGTTGAACTCTGTAATCCCAGGTTTCAAGGAGGTTAATAACCTCTCATTAATTAAGAGAGAGAGAGAGAGAGAGAGAGAGAGAGAGAGAGAGAGAGAGAGGTGATTAGATCTTTTAAAGACTCCTTTATAACAGTTTAAAAACTCCTCCATGTTTCTCATCAGAGAGTGAAATCTAAAATCTACACTCACTCTTGCTTTCACCAAGAGAAACACATGTTAGTGAGTTGCTGAGCTGCTGTACTGTTTACTTTGTTGTTCCTGCTTTTGGAGATCCACATGTTTGCCTGCCCCAGCAGCAACAATAAAAACAGTCTCTGTGAAAACCTCCTCACAGTCTGAAGACACGGCTTTGAAGACATTACAAAGAGCTTTCAGTCTGTGACAGTCCAGGTAGCAGAGAGGGATTGTCTCTTTGTCAGAGAGAGACTGACTAACAAAGAGACAGAGGACATGATGTCATAAACAATGTCCCTGATGGGCTTACCTGAGCAGGTGAGATTCAGGAAGTAGTTAGAGGAAAGTGATGCTGCACACTCCCTCAGAGCAGATCCAGACTCAACACAGTCAGAGCTCATCCTCCACACAGGTCTCTCTGAGGACTCCTTTCTCCATCCCACAGAAACAGCAGAGCCACAGTCGAGCTCTCTGCAGAGAACACCTGCTGTCTTCAGGGTCCAGAGAGAGTAGCCCCCCACTGGTCTCCATTCTCCCAGATGTTCCACCTCCAGAGCTCCTGCACAGCGACTCTCTCCTCCCACCAGCTGAACACCAGGCTCTGAAGAGAAACAAGAGAGTGATCAGAGAGAGAATAAAGTGAGTTTGATGAGAACAGAATGAACCAATCACAGCTCCTCTCTACCTGAGCAGGTGAGGCTAACAGCTGTGCCAGGTGAGCAGGTGTTTCTCTCTGAGGCTGAGCTACAGTCCAGGAGAGCAGACTCATGGCCTCCACACTGGAACTCTTTGGTCCACATTGGAGCCTCCCCTTCTCCATAGAGCGCCCCCTGGAGGACTGAAGGAGCCCCACAGCCCAGCTGCCGGCAGACCACCTGAGCATCCTGCTGGTCAAAGTCAGCCTCACACACTGAGGACCAGGACGGGTTAGACTGGTTAGACTGGTCAGAGTTCACCTCCAGTCTGCCTGAGCACAGACCAGTCCCCCCCAGCAGCCTGACAGAGTCTGCAGAGGACAGAAGATCAAACAGAGGTCAAAGACACACCATCAAAGAGATGAAACAATATTTCAGAGATTCAAACTGGACTCAGTTCCAACATGAGTTGAAGATGAACAACAGAACACATGTTTATAAGAACACAGACTGCAGGTACCCTCACATCTACATCTGATACCCTCTAGCAAGTGGTCTCCATTAGTGAACCCTTTCTCTGTGTCTTCAACAGATCCTCTGCTCCTTCTGCTCAGGGACTCAAAATAATGTTTTAAAAAAAGGTTTTATTATTTCTCACCTATCTAATAGAATCTGATCCTAGAACAAAAATCCCATTAGAAAATGAATTCTAAAATATGAAAGCCACAGGAGCCGGACTCTGCTCTGAAGGAGCTTCTCTGGGTGAAGGACGCCTCGAGGAGCCCCGGCTGAGCTGATCAAAGCTGTGTCCAGGAGGTCTTGGTGCTGTTATGGTGGAACCCAAAGAACCTGCTGCTGGAAACCAGAGGCTCAGAGAGAGGTGGAGCTGAAGCAGGAGTCCTTTCAGACTGGTTGTCCCAGGGGACTCCTGAGGCAGCAGACACACATGTCTCCATCCACACAAATATGTTTCAATGCAAACACAAATAGTTAGCGTTTTGTATAAATGTAAAAAAAGTTTCACAAATATATTTGTGATCCACACACAAATAGTTATTGTTTTAAATAAATGCAATATAAATCCACAAATATATGACTTTAACCTGTTAAGCCACACGGACCCGCCGAAGGGGCCGAAACCACAACATCTGCAAGCAACAGTGTCTGAGGGCTTCTTAAGATTTAATAGACTTGGGCTGCGTCTCAGGTCGACTATTTTCATTTCCTCGGTCCTCGGTCCTCGGTCCTCGGTATCACCGGAAGTTGATTTGTCTGCGCCATCTTGAGTAGCGTCCCATGGCTCTTATTTCTGCCGGAGGAGCGATAATGGAGGAGCGATAACTGAGGAACCAC